AATCCTCAGCTAAAAGTCCCAAAATTGTAGAGTCTAGTCTCCTTCTGGCCAAACACGAGGAAACTGCACACTCACAACAAAACTTGTTGTCTTTTTAAAAATTAAACTTACAGATAACTTCCATGAAAGGGAGGCCTAGGATTCAACTGGTTACAATCCTTACTTCCAGTTGCAACAGGGTTTGGCTCTTTCCCTTTCCCAATTTGTCTTCTAATTCTAGTTCTAGGGTTTGAGTCATGTGTTCCTTAATCTCTTAATAAAATTAATTTTTTCTTGTGCTCACTTCAGCATCACATAACTAAATTTATTTCTTCTCATCTAGAGGTTGTCAAACTCCAAATGGTCCTCCAGCTCCAGTGATGGATGTGTGAGAGTCTCTCTGAGGTCTCTTAGACCAACCCTATGAGAAGAGTCCATGATGGCTGCCCCCCCCCCCGTTCAAACTCTCCTCAGCAAAAAGAAGCTAGAAGATAGTTAGGGACACTTCTTCAGAGAAGGAATATAAAAAACAGTGTATCCATTTAACTTATAAAAGACAGATTTCAATGAACAGAGGCAAATTGGGGTTAAGATCATCAGCCACACTGATAGAAATTAATATAAAAACAGGCACTAAAACTGAGACTTCGACAAAGGATCGAATTTCTCAGGCAGCGTAAAATGCAGCCCTTCCCTATGTTCAGGGCTGAACTATAACCATTCTTACCTTCAGGACTAAGTTTGGAGAAACATAAGAATGAGGAGAAAGTAAGTGAAAGTAAGTGTTTTGTTGTTTTTTTTTTTAAAAGGTTTCCTTTAGGCTTTGCACACTGAGTAACTGGTTTAAGGAGCCTATATTCCACTTGGTGGTTTTAAACCCATAGACCCACTATGACAGGTGGCCACTACACAACTGAGCAATCCCTGAGCTCTGCTTATCCATAAAAAATTCTGGACCATGGATCCACATAGCTCTCACTCTATACACTTCCCAACTTGAACTATTTATCTCCTCCTTCTAATAAACACTCCTTTTGTCTACAATTTCATTCTTCAACATTATGAGTCAATGGTCTGGTCTTAACTGGTATGTAGGAAGCTTACTGTCTCAGTAAGAGCTCTTAAGAAAAACTTGCTCTGAATTCCCTTCTCTTTATGGAAATAAGAGGACACTTGCAGTCAAGAAAACTAGATTCTATTGGCACCTTGATTTAACTAACAGTTCTTAGGCAAAAATCAGTTGGTGTTCTGAAAGTATTCCCCCTTTCTTATAAATCTGGGGATAATACTTAAGGATTATTGCCAGGAATGAAATGATGAACATAACAGTTCTGTATAGTGTGCAGCTATTTATAAATGTATTACATGTATAAATACTGCAAGGTATTACCTATATAAGTACAGCACAGCCCCCTCATGTCCTGAGCAAATGCCACTCAGAGGTCTCACCTTTACCATGTAGTATTCGGCCAGCCAAGGGCCTTAACATGCAGTACTTCTGCAAATAGACCTTGGGCCAGAGTCACAACTTCATCTGTCATTACAAAGAAGTTAACAGCAGGACTAAATTATTTTAGGCATTGGTGAGCCTAACAATATTTTTTGCCTTCAGATTGCAAGACATTCTCAATTTAGTACTATGAAAAGAGTTATAGATGGATTTTATGTGGTTGGTCCATGAGTTCAAATATACCATCTGCCACATGTTTTCAGGGTGACTGAATTTGCTGTTGGTCTTAACTCCATTAACATTTTTAGAGTTTAGGAGCTCAAACTAAGGCTTTCCTATAAAAGGTGGTATATTTCATTTTTAAAAATATTAAAATAAGAGTAGTCATTATTCTAAAAATAGTATGTCACCTTCTTGAGAAAAGAAAAATATTTAAAGAAATTCTTGTACACAAAAAATTTTGGGTAATTTTTAAAAACATGCGTGCTTCAGATATTAAGATCATGGTATAAAGAGATAACTAATGCTTAAAAATCACACTTTGTTCACGTGTCAGTGATAAAAAGGTAAATTGATTAAATTACAAGAAGAAAGAGCTATTCTTACAAGGAAGATTAAAATTTTATAATCCAGATTTAAAAGTGTGAATTAGATGTTAAAGTTTAAGATAGAGTGAAATAAGACAGAAAAAGAAGAGAAAATATAAGCATTACTAGATTTAATTAATGTTAAAAAGGATATTAGAAGTAAATAAAATTTGCTTAGCTATTAAAATCTTTGAAATGTTAACCAGAACCCAAAGAAATTTCACAGAGAAAAAGAGAGAAATCACTGTAGCAAATTACTGTCTCCACCAGAGGGAATAAGAAACCAGAGTCTAATGAAGCACTGACCTCAAAAAAACAGCAATAGCAACTCGCAGACCATTCCTCACAGACTGAAGGATTTCTACAGAGTGTTCCAGAAAGTCTGGGCAGACTTAGGAGAACATAGTTGTGAAAAATAACACAAATGAAAACACAGCAGAGGACAGGCTTTGAAATGGCATAGCTATTGTGTAACAGAGTACAGTCATATCCATAAACGCCTCCTCAAACAGGCAGAAACAAGCTATGGGTCCCCAGTGGCATATTTGGCTCCCTAAGATTAAACCAGAAATAAAGCAACATTCTATATTCTATTCAGCTTCGCTTTTATTTTCACCAAAACCTAGACTCACTGAAGAAAAATACCTACTTTCTCATTATAAAAAATGTTAAATTTTAAACAGTAAAAGTTCACTTATCATTAAAAGATAAAATATAAGAGTTCTATTACTGAGATACCATAATCACAAAACTAGTAAACAGCTCACCTTCATGTGAATCAGAGAATTCATAGAAACTGGTATAGATCTGGCCAGAAAAAATAAACTTGATTTGGAGTTGAATGAAACACACAATAAAATAAACATGTTTGCAGAAGAAAAGCACTCTAACAAAGGTTTTCACAAGATAAAAGAGGCAGAAAAAGTTTATCAATTTTTTTCCTTTTATAGTTAAAAAAGTTTGAGAATAGCCATTTTTGAAAGAAGCAAAATTTGCCTGAAAAGTACAAGAAAAGCAACTGGGAAAATTCTTACTGGGTCTTTGCAGGTGTTTAGAAATTTCATTCTCAGCATAGCTTCCTAGAGAAGTGATTGGATATTGATTCAGAAGCATAGCTGTTAGAATTGATCTCATAGTTTTAGAGAAATAATGAACAAAAACGTTTTTATTAGGAAAAAAAGATTCAGCATTACACTGCGAGATTCTAGAGTTGCTTCTACAACTAAAGTACATAATAAACAGTGAAGCAGAATCTAACTTTGATGTTTTTCCACGGATATAGTTGGGTTATTATGTTATGTTCTTCTTCATGAAAAAGGTCTGCCAGATTCAGGTGCAAACACAGTAACAATGTCTAATATTAGAAGATGCATCAATACATTGAGTGTGATGTGAAACACAATTTCAGCACTCCAGAGGCTAAGCAGGGATGATAGCAGGAAGTTCTGGGTCATCCTGGACTGTATAGTGAATGCAAGGCCAACCTGAATTACATAGTGTCACCTTCTCAAAAAAAAAAAAAAAAAAAAAAGAGTAATGATGGTGATCATATTTAGGAGGTAATGGAGCTAACGTTTATTATTGGTAGGGAAAAAATATTCTTATCACACAACTCTTTCCACATGGTTGTGATACCAGTGCTTTGTGGATAAGTTCATAAACACACTCTGGAAGCAGCCTGCCTGCCATGCAGATGTCAGTTTTAAAATAAGACTGGCCCATATGTGCTGTGACCATTGGCCCTATCGGAACTTTTGGAGCAAGCAACTTAATGTTGCTGATACTTAGTTATCTCTTTACAATAGTGGGATATGAGTTTAACTGACAAAATTGTTGAATGAGAATACAAAACAGCCCACAAAGCCTCAAATAAATACATGAACTTATGATTGAAGTCTCTGCTAGTAATCATTGGTCAGTTAGTAGGATTTTATGGGCACCATCAACCTAGTGACTCAAGAAAGTATAGCTTATGTTCTTTCATCCTGAAAAATCTCACTTATCACTTGATGCAGCGAGAAGTGAATGTGAGTTTTAACCAGCCCAAATTGTTTACCATCTGTTCATGGAAAGATAAAATCCCTCATCCTGTATAATGGATCAACAAGGATTTCAGGCAAAAGAGAGAGTCTCAAATTTCAGCATCAAATGACTGTTTTTATGTGACCAAAAACTGTACACAAGGAACAAATAAAACGAGTTCAATCAGCAATGCAAAGCAATATAAATTTTGAAATCCTTTTCTACATCTCTCAGAAACATTTCATTTGTTTATTTATGGAAGAAGTTAGAACAGTGAAAAATACTTTTACTGGAGCTCCAGGTAATTATATTAAGATTCCAACTTTCAAAAAACTATTTTTACCCCTTCAACCTTATTTACTTTTATACTAGCCATATGGAACAAAAATCTCCATCCAATATTTTATGTGCTATTAAGTAAAAAATTATATATTTAGAAGTGGCAAACAACTGAAAGCACAAGAAAACAGGAAACCCAAAAATTAACAATAATAATTAAAACAAATATGGTAGAAATAATGATACAAGACCATTTTTAATGAAAAAATAAGAAATAAAATCTGATAGGTAAAATAATTTGGTACAATTCACCAAACTACATTAAATACCTAGAGATCAATCTAATGGATAAATACTAAAATTGCAATGAGATTTACATAATATTTCTTAGACAATTATAGAACATCTAAATAAATGGATATGCAAAGTTATCAGTATGAAGATTTAAGCTCCAAAGATATAAATTGTTCTCAAATTCATTTAGAGAATCTTCTTGAAAATTGCAATAAAAATTCCAAATAGGTTATTTTTAGTTAAGAATCCAATTATAATATTTATATGAAAATTCAAAGATCAAATTATCAAGGGTAATTTTCAAGATGAATATCTACATGTATGTTAGAGCACAGAATATTACCATGTATCAGGAATTATAAAGCTCTAATAAATGAGACCATGTGATATCTTACAAAGATACAGAAAAGACTGGTGGAACAGAATATTCTAGAAGTAGGTAAATAGATCAATGTTTGATTTAAGACAAATGATGTATTGTAAAGCAATGAGTAAAAGATGATCTTTGGAAAACCAACAAAAAAACAAAACAAAAAAAAACTATGCTGTCAATTACATATCTATATGAAAAATGAATTTTTGAATCTCTCAGTCCACACCAAATGATAATAACAGAAGATCCTTTATCTACATGTGAAAGACAAAATAATAATGGTTTTAGAAGGAAATTATGAGATTGGATTCATGACTTTGAGGCAACTTTTTTCTTCAATGTAAAACAATAGGTATTTATTTACTCAAAAAAATAAATATGATACACTGCTGTTTTGGTAAGGTTTCCTGTTGAGGGACAAAATACCTGACACCCACAGTTTAAAGGAAGAAGGTTTAATTTGGGTCATGGTTTCAGAGATCTCAGTCTGTGGCTGGCTAGCTCCAAGGCAGAAACATTATGGTAGAAGGACATGGTGGAATAAGGTGCTCACTTCATTGTGGCCTGGAAGAAGAGAGGGGGAACAACTTTAGAAAGGAAGGTGGACTATGCATAGTACCCAAAGTTACCCCATGATCCCTCTGTGAGTATGCTTTGTAAATCTCCTAAGAATTCTCAAGACAATCAAATTAAACAATTAAGCTTAGTCATCACAATTACATTCAAATTAAGAACTTGCATTTATCAAAACATTTCACTAAAAGCAATCCAAAGAACTGGAGATCTTTGGAAAACATGCATCAAAAAAACAATAAAATGAGCCCTATAGATGCTATAATCAATAAAATGAAACACTCATGAAATAGGAAAATTACTTGTAGTTAGGCATTGTGCAGAAAACAATTAGAATCAGGACATGGAGTTTATAATATTATTTTTATAATGGTCACTGGGAGTTAACACAGGAAAATGTAGGAAATCTATCCACAACACCAAAGACATAGAATATTTAGTCAAGGACCTAAATCCCACAGCAATGTCCCACATGAGTCCAGATAAAATTCCAGAGCTGATGACAATGCCTCCCACGAGTCCAACTGGAGGTCTACAGCCCACAAGAAGGACTCATGCCAGTCTCTTTTATGGATCCATGCTGGGAAGGCCCAAAGGTCAGTGGTGGAAGCCAGAAAGTCTGTGCCAGGAGGATGAAGGAGCTGTGCTGGTGGGATGAGGGTTCTATGTTGGAGCCCAGAAATCATACTCATAACAAAGACCAGGGCTGTCCTGAAAGGCACCACAGCCATCCTCAGTGACACAGAGCCCCCTAGCTCCTCCGAATGACAAGCACATTTGGGCACATGCCAGGAAGCAGCATGACAAGTTCATCTTGGAGACCGAGTGGCACATGTCTTCCCCTCCGGAGCCAGTAAGCAGTGCTTGATGTGAGGACCAGAGCATCTCCAGGAGAACCAAGGGCTCAAACAGCAACTCGTGGGAGAATCCACAATGCCTCAATTCAACAACGCATTAACGCCTCAATGCCCTCAACATTTCCCTTCTTCTCCACCTATTTATCCTGGCAACTTTCCTCAGGTGGAGCATCTTCACTCAATGCCATGCTGATGTAATCCAGCTGGCATTAAATTGACCACCAGTTCTTAATCCATAACATTACTTGAATTGACATTTTACAAAAGAGGATATCCAATTTACTAATAAGCATATGAAATGGCTTTGGATTTAACTAGTCATAACAAAATGCAAATTAAAACCACACTTTGATATGACTATACACACACCAGATTTATATCAAATTTCTAAGTGTTGGCAATAGTACCGTTCAAGGTCTAGATAGGATTTTAAATTGTAATAATCACATTGAAAAGTTGTTTGCTTCCATATCTAATAAATACTGAGGATATTAGTATTCTCTGTACTTCAGTTCAGGTCCTATTTTTATAAATAATTTTAGGTACCCCCCCCAACTGGTGCCAAGATGCTGTTTAATATGTCCTCTAAAATCTTAATTCATGTGCTACCAATAGTAGAGTCAGAGGTCAACTGTGACATGATCCTACAACTACTATACAAGAGTGGAAGCAAAACATAATACTAAAACAACAGGAATGAGTAAAAATAAAATAGTGATTATAGTTAGGTGAACTATATTTGAAGAGCAGTCACAAAAGGAAATCCTCACAGAGGGCAGTTATTTGGCAAATGCACATTTTTGTACAGTATAGTAGAAATAAATGTTGAAGTTGAGTAGATGTGCAACTCTATATGACTTCATGAGCTGGCCAGATGGTCTGGGACTTCCAAGAAATATGACTAGGAAATTGGTGACAAAGGTAATTGAGGAAGAGGTATGTGGGAGACCTCTGCATGAGTGAAGGATGTAAAGACATTTGTGTCCTATGTTAATGCTCATTTCCATGATCCGTGAAGAGGATTGTTGTAGCCAGGGGTTGCAAGGATAACAATCACATACAGGACACATAATGGTCACCCACAGAGTCAAATATAAAGAAAGTGTAGGAAATTTGTCCACTAAAGACCTAGAAAATACAGCCAATGGCCTGGATCCCACGGCAATAAACTGCATGAGTTCAGCTGAAAACCTAGAGCCCACAACAATGACTCATACAGGTCTATTTCATGACTCTGTGCTGGGAAGGCCCAAATGTCAACAGTAGAAGCTATAAAGTCTATGCCAGAGGGGTGAAAGATCTGTGCCAGCAGACTGAGTGTTCTGTACTAGAGCCAAGAAGTGACACTCAAAATAAGGACAAGGGCTCCCCAGAAAAGTACCACAAACATCCTCAGAGACAATGAGGTCCCAAGATCCTCCAATGATGAGAACAGTCAAGTAAATACCAGGAAGCCAGCATCACAAGCTTCTGGAGATCAAACAGAAAACATCTTTCCCTCCAGAGCCAGGAATTAATGCTCAAAGTAAGGGTCAGAGCTCCCCAAAAGTGAGCCACAGCCATTCTCAGGCACAAGGTCTGGAGCTCCTCCAATGATAACAGCTCATTTCATACATCCATAGTCATTACCACACTGATTCAGTTCAATTGATGTATAAGCCGACCATAAGCTACCAACCCACTACAAGGATTTTAATAATAAATTGATAGGATGAGTATCCTGGGGATAGCAGTCAATATTTTCCTTCAGCCATCATCATTGCCCAATGGACTCATAAAGAAAGTGGCCACAATGGCAGGGATAGAGATTATGTGGGTTTAGCAACATGGACTTCTACTCATCAAAGTTGATCTGGTTATAACTCCTGCTGAATGTTCCATCTGCCAGCAGCACTGACCAACCTTGAGTCCCTGATATAGCACCATTCTCTGGGGTAATCAGCCTGGAACTTAGTGGCAGGTTCATTATGTTGGACATATGGTGATTAACTAATGATCAATTTATAACACCAAGCTGAACTGTATCAGCATGGTTCTGCATGTGGAAGGCCCACCTGAGGATTATTGCCAACAGAATAAAAAGAGAACGAGAGGGGGACATGATGTGTTGTTGATTCCCCTAAAAAAGCTGGTCATGCTGTTCTCTTCACTTGGAGAGGTCAGGTCCTCACTGTTGCTGAGAATGGCAATGGTTATTTTGGGGAGAGCACTGGTTCTTACCTTGAGCATTGCTTCTTGGCTCCAGTACAGATCCCTCAGCCTGCTAGCACAGATCCTTCACCACTCTGGTGCAGACTTTCTAGCTTCCACCACTGATATTTGGAACTTCCCAGTGCAGATTCTTGATAGACTTGTGTGAGACATTGTCCTGAGCTCTAGGTCTCTAGCTTGGATTCATGGGGGACATTGCCATGGGCTCCAGGTCTTCAGCTGTGCTCATGCAAGTCATTGCCATGGAATATAGGGTCACAACTGGATTCTTTTTGTCTCTATTGTGTGGAAAGATCTCTTGCACTCTTCTGCATTTGATTCTTTGGGCGAATATTATAAAATAATCCTATAAATTATGTGCCCTGTACTAAACCTATTCTTTTGTAAAGCCTAACTACAAAGACTGGTGCAACCACTGTGGAAATCAGTATGGAGATTTCTCAAATAAACTAGAATTGAAAGTCCCATTCAGTCCAGCTATTCCTCTTCTGTGTATGTTCCCAGGAAAACTGAAAATGTCAAGCCACAGTGACATATGTACACCCATATTTATAGTAACACAATTTGTAATAGCTAAACCTTGGAAACAGCCCAGATGACCATCAACTGCAGAATGGATAAAAAAGATATGGTATTTTTCATGGAATATTACTCAGCTATTAAAAAGATAATCTTGAGGCTTTTATAGGTAAATGGAGACAACTTGAGACCATTTATATAAAGGAAATAAGTCAAACTCACAATTATAAATATTGTAGTCTCCCTAGTATAAAAAGTAAAAGGCCAAAAAATTAGTAAGATCCAAAATGTGCAATAAATACTGTCATAATGAAAAGAAAAGAATGTGATAAAAAGGAAAGAACAACTTGGATGGGAAAAGGAAAACATTATATGTATATTGGTAAACATATATTAAAGTATGTATGTATTTGTATGCAAGGTAGACAGCTATATTATCAACCTGTTAGTTCACCAGATGTTTCTCAACCCACTCAAGTTCATATAACAATTATATTTTGGAGTTTTTTGCTTATTGTTCTCACAGGAATGGTTCGTCCCTCCAATATTCCAATTGCTCTTAAATCAGGCTTATCAGGCGGCAGTAAAGCAATCTATATCCCTGGTAAACAGTTGTTGAAAGCATTTTACAAATTGTCTCATTGCTTCTTTGGGGAGGTTGCTCATTGCTACATTTGTTGCCCAAAGGTTCCAACTTAGATCTTACATTCTTGAGAAATAGCTCATACAGTATAAAATCACCAAAAGACATAAAGTGAATCATACATTCATCTCTTAGAAAAATCATTTAAGGTTATTTTTTTCTTGATATTCATAAAGGCAAGGATTTGGAGGCCATATCCTAAGAAAAGTGAATTTGCAAGTGTGAATCTGCCTCTAAAATCATAAGAGTACTATGTATACAGTATATTAATCTTCTAGTTTTCTTCCTAAACCACTTACTCAACAAATACATCTTTGTAGACACTTTAAAAAAAATCAAAGACTCGGTCATACTTATCTGCAATTTATTTTTGGTGTCTTCCATAGAGTTCTCCACCTAGATCTTTCTCAGTAGATTGGGATTTGAATAAATTGTCAAAGCCTCTTTTTAGAGAAATATAAGAAGTATCTAATTTTTTTAAATGAAAGTTTCTAAGGGACAGAGGGCCTTGTCCTCTGTTTTATCTACATTATTCAGATGTTCATGTGCAACAGATATTTGCTTCAAATTTCTGATGAAAGCTGCATATCAAGCATCTCTGACACCATGAGAGAAGAGAGAACATCTATTCTGTCTAGTTTGTGCACGTTACTGTCATTACCTGTCTGTATTTGAGCATGAGCTACAATCATAGCTTGTCAAAAGTATAAAATATCCCCCTATTTCCCTTAGTACCACTTGTGCTCACTATGTCATTTTAC